CGGATGGATTGGGTCAGGAAAGGAGGTGGAAACAGCAGAAGTCAAGAGCTTCTTGTGTGTGTATAATAGCCCTCACTCAAAAGTCAATTACTATTAGCATGTGTTTCAACTACAAGATGAGTGGGGTGTGCTAAATTTTTTTCACAATTCTTTTCTGAAAGCTACCATGAAGGGAAAGAAGGAAAAAGACAATTAAAGGCGATAAGGTTTAAAGGAGAATGTGGAGGAAGGAAACAACCACTGACATGGGTTCTGCAAGTTCTGTACGTAGAAATGACATGGAGCGAGTAAAAAAATACTTGTAAAGTCTCATGGGGTGCTGTAATGAATATCATCTGTACCATGAGCGTAGACAAATTAATAATCTACCAATTAAAAATGAAGATTGCAACCAAGTGTTGCAACTGTGCAGTCTGCTGAATCACTCAATTAAAGCAACATAAAAATGCAGAAAAGGTTATTTGGACAACTTCAGACTGTTGGGTGACAAAGTATTGGTGCCAATAATGATATTATGAACATGTGAACATTTAGCAAGGAATTGTGGTAGCCTTTCTAAAATATCCTTAATCCTGGCTCCTGGCACACAGCAAGGAACAGCTGATTTTTCTCTGATGGAGCAGGATGTGTCTTGTTTTGGATTGTTTGAAAACCGAATTGTGTTTATTTATTTATTTGCCATGCATGGTTGCATGGCGCTGAAAAAGCAACACAAAACCATGAAAAAGTTATTTGATAAGCAATGTTCGATGTAAAGGCTAAAGACCATCTCCATGTTTATCCATCTAAATGGATTTTTGAAACATGAATATGCAAACAAATCTACTAGATGAAAATCATTTACATCACCCTCTTTCTTGCCAAAGATTAAGATCTAGAAAACATATTACATCCACAACTCTCACCATAAATACAGTTTTTACAGTTTTAGTTTTAGCTAGAACAGACTGTTATAGCTTCACAACTGTCTTCATACTGTACAGCATCTGGCTGAAACTACTTTATACACTGTACTTCCTCCAGCTATAAAAAAAAATAGGTATTAAAGTAGAACAGACTCCCAATCTCATCAAGACTAATCTGGAAAATGGTGGTTAAATCAAATGATTTAGAAGTTATACAGTAAGTAGAAAGGCATCAGAAGGATCCATGATTTACAGGATCAGGGCCTACACATCCTGGGTTCTGACTGACCCATATTCCAGAGCCAGGAAACTTGTCCTCACCACCACCACCTCCACAAGCAGCCCGGTCCAATACAGGTTAGCAGTAGAGGGCCTACTGATCGTGATCCAATGCGACCCTGCGCTAATTCCCTGGTGAAAGCCACCCAGTCAGTCCAGCGATGCCTCAAAACCTCAAGGTTTATATGAACAAGCTCCACTCTGAATGGGAACCCAGGAACTAGGCCGGTAATAACAGACCTCAGGAAAAAAGCTTTTGACCAAAGAGAGAGCGGTGAACAGAGACTCACCCCGTTCGCCCCCTCGTTTTCTTTCCCTGCAGGTTTTGGGAGAATGTCGAACACGCTTCCTGTAAAACTATGTAGTATTTATTACATCCTCCGTTTTTGATGGCTGGGGTCATGTAGCCTGCTGTCTATTTATCCTAGAGGTTATTTACTACATTAGGCCTGGTTTCAGGGCCAGGAGAGGAAGAAAGGAGAGAAATCTAAGATGCAGGAACTAAATTGGTAGCAAATGTATAGCCTCCAACTTGCCCCTTGGCCCTAACGCGTTTTTCAAGCGCTCTGCTCACCGTGCTCCAAGATGCGGGGACGGCTTGCCTCTGAAATAATATTTCAACAGTGGTTACAGACGCAAAACCGGCGCCATCTCTCAGCTTGGGTTGTTCCCACCAAAGTGCAGCATAAGGGATTTTCATTTTATTTCTGGGAAGATATTATGCTTTGCTGTGTAGTGCCGGTGGCCTTAAGGTTAAAAGAGGCAGGCTCGTGACCAAAAGGTTGCAGGTTTGAATTCTCAGGGCAAGTGCTATAACAGAAGGTGATACTGTATCCACTGAGGTGCCTTTGAGCCAAGCATTTAACTACATCTCCATTGGAGCAGTGCACTGGTTTCAGTACGAGACTGTGGTTGTACTGGGCCGCTCCCAGGTTGGATGAATGTAACTGTGTGAATGTGTAGCAGGGCGTTGCTGGAAAAAAAGAGCATGTGTGCTCAAATCCCCAAGAAAGGTTAAAAACAGACATCAGTGCAGAGGCTACCAGGCCGCCCACACAAGCCTGAAACTGAGCCACTGAAGTCATACAAACAAATTGAAAAACACACCTTGTGTTAATGACAGATCATTTACCCCTATGGTATAGTCATTCTGGTCAGCCATTTTGCAAAAAGGATTTGCACTAAGTTTGAGATCAGTGCCTCAAAGATGCTTACAAGGAGACTCAATCACCGTTCTTCTGCCGCTAAACTCTCTAAAAGATGACTTTGACCATCTCATTTTCATTTAAATGGCTCAGTGGAGAACCATTTGCTCTCCTCTTCCCTACAGCCGAACAGGCTCAATAAAAGCCAATGAGCTGTTGAAAAGAGGAAAACCTTGTTGTTGTCTTATACAAACAGCATATGGTTTGCTCAGTGTGGCTGCACATGGCAGCAATCCTTCGACTTCATTTGCTCCTCTGTATCAAGTTGTCCTCTTACCATCTGGGCAATTATGAAGTTTCACACTCTCCAAGTTTCTTTTGTCAACACTTTACAAGAGCCTGATTCAAGTGCATTAAGCATATGCACAGCATTAATATGTTGTGCAGCGTATGTTGTGCATATAATGGTTCTGTTATTTCACAGTGAAAATAATGAACTGGACATTTTAATGATGAAGCAATATTATTCAAGAATAATTTTTACATTTCATTTGGAAATATGTTTTGTGCTCAGTACTCATTGCTGTGGTGTTTCTACATTTCATCATAGTTAGAAGTTAGAAGAGGCTGAAAGAACTTTCATTTTGTCTGTTAAATATTAAGCTATTGGACTTTTTAGTGCAGCGACTTTCTGGAGTCACTGCTCCTGGACAAAAAATAGCCTGGCACACAGCTGTAAAGCCACAACAGGCTGTTTTTACACTTTGGTTTTTGTACAGAATAGCTTTAGAGGTGCTGGCAGGCAGATGTTTTTTACCATTGGACAGAACCAAGCTAGCAGTTTCCCCTTGTTTCCAGTCTTTATGCTAAGCTATGCTAACTGCCGGCAGGAGTTGAAAATTTAATGTATGAACTAACTCAAGATAGAGGGTTAATAAGGGCTTTCGTCAGCCACGGTGGTGGTAAGCTGCTAACTAATGAGATCGCTCTGTCAATATTTTTGTGAACATGGTCTCAAATTGCAAAATCATCACCTCAGCTGCTCCCACAGGAATCAGACATTCCCAGAAACTTAATTGACAGCGTTACTGTCTTCACCCAGTTGTCAGCGGCGCCTGATTGTTTTTTTTTTTTTTTGTTTTTTTCCAAAACTTAAATTTATTTCCCCTCTGGACCTTGAAAAGATAAAGGAGTAGGATGTGTTCTTGTCATAGTGCCAGGCTCTGATCAGCAGCCATGCATGTAGCTGTCAGGATGTTGCAGATGTTTAAAAAGATATCCCCTTCCCGAAGGCAAAGTGAAATTAATGGTGCTATTGTAAACACCTGTCACACAGCCCAGATCTAACAAAGCATAAGGGCTTCCAAAAATCCTTGGTTTGTAAGGCTCTGTGGGTCTTTTTGCTGTTTCATGTCTTGGCGGAGACTGATGCTGATGGCATGGAGGTAGAAGGATAAGAGCAAAAATTAAATTGATGCCTCACATGGTTTGTTGCACCTGCCTGTGGGGCCACCATGATGCCTTGGTCCACAACGGCCTGTCTAGGTCCCGGCAGGGGGGGTTTCAGCCTTAGCTTCCTGACAGTTTGTCCCCCCCAATTCACCAGGAGCTTCACTGCCTCGGAAACTCTCTGAAAACTGAGCAGAGCTTTGTGGCATTTCTCTCATGCAGGTTTTGACAGGAAGGTTTGCTTGTGTAGGTGGATTCAATCATTCTGAATTAATTTAAAAGATATTTATGAAATGTGTGGACACTACTTTATGTGTGAGTGTGTCTTATGACATGTTTATGCATGTGTCTAGTACATTTATGCAGTAGTGTGTGTACATGAATTGGATCTTCATGTGCGGACGTGACATGGAAGACTATGGCTGTTCATTAAATTGCCTCAGAACATTTAAAGTATTAAGTGAGATTGATGTTTGACTCGGGTGCCTCTGCCATTAGGGAGTCCAGCCAAAACGTCTTGTTACTCAGCAACTTCTGTCTATTCATGATTATCTGGCAAATCAAACAAGTGTCAGGATGTTTCTTTTTCTCCATTGCACATTATCATTAAAGATGATGGCAGTAACATGAGGGGGATTCAGCTCAGCCTCTGAGTGTTCACATCATGACCACTAGGTGGAGTAAAGATATTTAAAGTGAGTAAAGACAGAGGGGTGTATTTCATTTCAAGGTAGTTTTTGGTAACTTGTCTTTAATATTTTAAATGACCTAAAATCAAACATAGAGACATTGTTTTATAAGATCTTTTTTTTAATCTCCTTTCTAATTTTTGTGTGAAGAGATGTGAATAATTATTAACTTTGTTTTTTTTTATGTTCAGAAGATTAGAAAGGACAATCAAGATAGTGCTGAAAGCATACTTTGATTTTTGCTACATTCTAATACAACTACATGTACTAAATGAATGATATTAAAGATTATGTATAATGTATACCATTTTAGATGCTAAGAGTCATCATCCTTTATGAAATTTCAGTCATGCTTTAACACATTTTAGGTTTTGCTGCCCTCTACAGGAAATATGACTATCTGCTCCGTTACCATGTACAATAAGATGTCACTAGACTTTTCTTGCACTATAATTACCATGATGATTTTCTGCCTTGTCATTTATTGTAATGACACAATTATGAATTATTTAAAAACTAAAGAGAGTAACAACTTGATACAAATATATATTTATTGTAATAATAGAACATTGACTGGCGAAGACCAAACAAAGGCAGACTGAAGCTATAGTAAATGGCAAATAGGAAATTAACAAGCTGTATAAAGAGGCTCAGTTAATTACAGTTCCCAAAATGTCCACACATAAATGCTTTGGAATGAAAATGTCCCAACAAGATATGGTTGGTTAAATGAGAAAATTAATTCACGTTACGAGCAGCCACATTGTCTTAGCAGGAAGCTCCAGGAGTTTCATTGTACTATAAAGCCATCTGAGCAAAAGTACACTCTAAACATTTAAACAACTCTATGCATAAAGACGACAAAGGCTCTATTATTGTCAACTGATGTAAGTCAGTGGTTTAACTGCTGCCAACTAGTAGTAATCACAAAGAAATGGTCCAATTGTTGTTAATAGTTGCCATTATGTTAGCCAAGACACTAGCAAAGTCAGCTTGACTTATTACAGGAATCTATTACACTGACAATATGTGGTCATTTTCCTTAAATGTCTTGATTGGATTTGAGAAACCTTACACTGATATTTAGTAATATGTATGACACTGCACCATGTCACTGAAGATTCCTCTGCACAAACACTGTCAAATATGAAATGACAGCAGGTCTGTACTGAAATTAACCCTGGAGTGTGACCAAGACAAAAAAAATATATAAGACCATGTTCCCTGGCTTTGTACATATTTCCAAAATGCTTCAGAGAGCCACAAACAGATTTTTTTTTTCATTTGCATGATGTTGCTACTTGTGCCAGTGAAAAACTATTATCTGCAGGTTACAGTGTACTCAGTGTGTGTATTCAAGTCCCTCTTTCTGCGTTGGACTCTTTTTTACAGCTTGAGTGCCCTATTTGCACAATGTCTGCAAAACACCAAAGAATAAATATGTTGGACCTCCAGACACTGCACAGCCAAGTTGTCTCAGTCACTATCTGATGATTCACTTGAGCTGGAAGAAGAAGAAGAGGATGATTGGTGTTTTCTGTTCTTAGGTCTCTTCTTGTGATGCTTCCCGTGCTCCTTTTTGTTCTTCTTGCTTTTCTTCTTGTGGCTTCTCAGTTTCTTTTTCTTCTTCTCCTCTTTATCAGATGAGGAGTAGGACCTGCTGCGTTTCTTTTTCTTCTTTGTGGTCTCCTCATCACTTGATGATGAAACAGATCTAGGGAGTAAAAAACAATAAGCAAATGACTGAAAGGTCATAACCCTGTAGAATGACTAAAAAGACTTTACATGTGGAGACTTGGAGAGAAATGTATGTATTTATACATATTTATATTACTTTATTCATTATGAGTCAAGTATTATCAGTAAAACAATTACTGCTTTAAATCTGTAATAGCTTTTCAGTTTTATAGTATATATGCTCATGCAATATATATAGGGCATATCGTTATATACATTTTATATATTTACATAAGGTCGTGTTTCTGTTGTCAAAGAACTATATACATGTGTAAAAAAGTGACTTTTAGGCTGACTTTTAGTGTGGACGTAAAAAAAATTGCAAGGTAGGAAAAAAGTTACCTCTTTCTTGACTTTCTATCTCTGCTCTTCTTCTGTTTATGTCTCTCTTTTCTGCCATCATTGTCATCATCATGGGAACCTTACACACAAAATTTGTAGACAGAACAGTCAAGATATTTTTTACTGTAACAGTAGCTGCTCATAAAGTAAAAAGGCAAGTAACTCAACATCTGGAAAAATATATCTAACAGTAGCATTGAGGCTTCACCCATTTGCACTGCTGGGGCTACTGCTGTTGCTCATCTATATGCAATCAAAATAAAAAAGCTTTAGCAGATCCTATTTCATACCTCTACGATGCTGGCCACTTCGCCCCAGCTTCTCATTGCGCTGAGCTGCAGGCATGTCGTCTTCACTCTCCTCACTGCTGGTGCTGCTTACATCCAGAACAATGTCTTTCTGAGGGTCAACTCTGACAAAGTTTCGGCACTCAAACGTTAAGTGGCCCGCTGGAAGAAAAAAAAGATCAATGGATGAACAACAATAGCAAAGCAGGAACGTTTCATTGCTTATGATTTGGGTATATAAGTCTAATCCTTGCAACCACTATAAGGAAATATGAATCAGTGGCTGGCAGATATTGTTCAACATTATTTTACTACTTATAATTACCATTTATATGTCTGAATTAAATCTGCTTGTAAGAGCTGCATAAACTTGGCAGTAGAGCTTTAAAAAAAGATTCCATCATGACTCCAACAAACCTACATTTACCCATCTTAATAAAGGGAGTCATAGCAACATGATCGCGCATGCATGCGCACACCCACACACAAAATCTCCTCCTTTAATTTGCAATGAAACATGAGAGTTAAAGCTTTACTTACGATATCCACATTTCTTGCACCCAGCTCTGATGTTGTCCTTGTTAGGCCCTGAAAGATAAGAGTTTTTTTTATTGTGTAAAGTAATTGTTTGTATACATAGACACATGGATCTCCAATAACAATACTATTAGGTTAAGTACTAGTCACATAGTTAAGTTATTGGCCCTTTAGTTATTTATATCAATCATATATAGAACTATAGATATAGAACTAACTTGTCCCTGAAGAACCATCTTCAGGGACAAGGACAAGGAGTCTGCAACAGATGGCATTGTTGCCACAGAGCCTTGATCTCAACATCATGAAGTTAGTCTGGGATTATATGAAGAGACAGGAGACAATGAGACAGTCTGAATCCACAGAAGACCTGAAAAACTTCTCCAACAACCTATCTGCCAAGTACCATGAAAAACTGTATTTAGGAGAATTGGTGCCATTTCAGAGCCTGGGGGTGGTCACACCAAATATTGATCTGTTTCTATTTTCTGCACTTTGTGCAAAATTAAGTGAAAAAATAAAAACTACGACGGCATCTTATTTGAAAGCATCATCATTTTGCTTGTATTGCCTAAAACTTTTGCACACTGCTGTATATGAACTGTAGATGACATTTAATGTTACCTGTTCTGTAAAATGCTTGGCTCCACTTTGATTTCTGCTAAAGACTCGATGCAACTAACTACAGACTTTGATGAGCAGCACTTTGAGCAGCCACATTTTTTGAGTAGCTAAGAGGTCGATGAGACGCAGAAACAGCTACTACTTATTACTACTAGATTCTCTCTGTGTTACAGCACTAAAAGTTCAGACATTTATGAAGGAAAAAATACAGTAGAGTCTAATTTACCGGCATGTGTGAAACTGTTTCTCGTTGGAGGGGGAAGATACCGATATAAGAAGTTGTTTGGTCTATGTGGCTAACTTTAATGCTAACGTTCATGTTAGCGCCACTTTGTTTAACCATATCGTTGCTCCCGTGGCCATTAGATTTCCACAGTAAACCACATGGATGATACAAATGAAAATGTAAACTTATATACATTGCTAAACTCTAATACCAACCTGGGGCAGCCATTGTATTCTGCACGGTGATGCAGAAAAAGTATAAAACTGGTTATTGCCAGAGAGCGAATCCACGAAATTTCCTCCAGTCCTCACTCAAAATAACGTCGATTGGAAACATTTGCTCTAGAAACGACGAGTTCCCCGTCTTGTTCTGTTTCCCCTCTTCACTGTCGGAAAACCGGATTACTGGTGCATTACCGCCACCAAGTGGACTGGAGTTTGGAGCAGTAGATTGAACTCGTTTTAATGGGTTAGTTCCTCCTGTAACGGCTGAAAAAATATATTCAAGGTGTCTTTGAAGAACTGAGAAAAAATATATTTGTAAAAACGTCAACAATTAAATCAAAGTAAACCTGAAAGCTACTGTTTTGAATCATGGTGTTTTCATAACTATTTACATTCATAACTCATCATATTAAATTTAAAGGCCTTAAGGCAAATGAAACAAGGTTTAGGGTGAGTAAATGGGAAGAGGTAAACTGTTCTATTCTCTCTCATGTTTATACTTCTGTGAATTCATCCTGAATGACTCATTATAAGGGGGTCTTATCAAACAATTATTACCTTTTGGTGTAATTTCAATGTTCATATGTAGCAATAAGGCCAGAGGTTGACACACAGAGTGGTGCAATGTGTGCGGAAAACTTTAGACGATGACATAGTGAGTGTAGCCTACATTAAAGTCTATATGCTCTTCCTGAATTTCCCTGATCCTGAGTATTTCCATGCGTCAACTTACTCTATTAAAAAAATCCTAAGAATTTTTTGCACATTGCTTGATTGCATTCCCAGTAAAGCCAGTTGTGGTTTTAGTTAGGGGTTAATTGAAGGCAGCCAGACTGACAGATGGAAAATGTCGACATATGCGGGGGCCCCCAGACATTCTCTCATCATCAAGTCTGTGACTGTGGTACACACGCGCACACACACACACACAGACAATCTAGATCTTGCTCTTTTGACAGTGCCATCTGTCTTGGTGACTGTTCTACCAGAATTAATACTGTACTTCACTTTATTTACAATAAAAAATGAAATTAGTGCAGTCACTGTTACCTAATCAGATGATGCCTCATGATAAGCTACCTCACAGTTCAGAGGTTCCACTCAGGCAGAGGACTTTGATCCATAACACCTCTTTTCTTTTTTTCTTCTGCCCTGTTATTCGCCTCACATGCTTAAAAACACGTGTTACCTGCTCCTCTTTCCAGCCGTTGGCCGGATGTACCTTCACCTTTCGTCACGAGTTTCATTATCAGAATTCCACTAAATTGCCCTTCCCCTGATATTGACAAAGGGAAATGTTATTATGACTGTCACCTTAGGGTGTCCTGTTTTAATGATTCTTGTCTTTTTGTTTCATAGTCAGTTGAAATATTTTAATTGTTGTTTTTCTGTTGTACATTTCCTTTAGCACAGTATTCTGTCTCATCTGAAAATTTTGCATTACATTATCCAGTTTAAGTAAAGCCTTTCTCCAGGCAAACAAACTTCAGTTGTTCGTATCTGGACTTGCTGTTATGAAGCCTCAATTATTTAACAAGGCTCTGATACAGTTCAAAGGAGTTTACTTTATCTCTTTATCTCTGTCAGGTTTTTGCCTCAGGTGAGAGATTAAAACAAAGAGCATTTATCAGAAACCTCTGCAGCTGTTTGCTGCACAGTGATTTCCTCACCATAGAGAAATATTAAATTCACTTTTCAGCCACTGGAAGGTGCAAAGAACACTTAGAAGAAAGACAAAACAGCTCCTGTAAAACAATTACTTTACTATTAGGTGCAATGAATAGGCTGCAATAAAAAGGACAAATGACAGAACACCACTTGTGCATGTGTACAGTAGGTTTCGAGCCCAAAACAGAAACTATATAACACAGTTAACAACATTAATAATTATATGTATATTAGTCATTTGTATGTCTACACCAACACAGTGATAGAAATGCACACCACCAGTCTAAGAGGGATGAGGAACTCCTCTGCTGGTTATTATGTTACCATGCGATCTAACTCAAGTGAGCCAACTTTGTGATGCCTGTAAACAAATCCAAAGTTAGCAAGTTAACCCGCTAGTCTTGCTTTGTGACTCAAGCCTCATGGCTACATTTTGAGTTGTCATATAAAGAAACCAATTAACTGCTTATTTCCCATCTATGTTTTAAACCCTTTAACTGTGAATATACCTCAAATCTATTTGGTCACAAAAAAATGGATTGGGCCTTCAAGGAGGCCCTTATTGGTACCTGGTGACAAGCTGGTTCCCAAACGTGACTACATTTCTGCAGACATCATAAAAAACTCTCTGACAGTGATAAGACCGTACGTAGTAAAACATTCCTCAGTTGCTATGCAGCTGCTAGTTTCCTTTCATCCTTATCTGAGCCTCGTGTCTACAATGTCTGTCCTCTATTTTGCCTTCTGTTACCTGACAAAAACAACAAAGGAGAGTTGCAGCTGTGAAAATGTAAACCAATACCACTATATTTAAAATATCACAACTTTGACTATATACCTCATAATAGATTGTTAAATCTTCTCTGCAGTCTATGAGTCATTGAACAACCATTGTTTGTCATTTGTTGCCTCTGAGGAAACAAACAAAACATAACTTTTTTTCTTTTAATTTGATGGGAACAACAGTAAATGTGATACTTCCATTTGGTTTGTGGGTATTTTTCTTGACTGAAGTTGGAATTAGAAGTGGTATTGCATGCAAAACATTTCCAGTGAAACCAATTCTACTGGCACTGCAGGGGCTTGAAGGAGAGAAATTCTTCCTCATGGACAGCAAAGCCATCAACGCCATGCCTTACACAACCACTCAGTAAGTCAGATGTTGAAGCTGTTGAACAATGCACAGAGACACAACATACATACATACACACACACACACACACACACACACACACACACACACACACACACACACACACACACACACACACACACACACTATGAATAAAAGGTGCATTTGGTAAATATAGTATAGTTGCTTCCCATTCCTTGATGGGATTTATGAAATTCTCCAACTGAGATGAACCATGGCTTTTACGTACCAATGTCAAATCATTCCAAAATGGACTTAATAAAGTTCTGACAATGTGTTTATGAACAAAGTTGTAAACAAAAGATTCTTCATGCCACAAAGGCATCAAAGACACAGCTTCAAACAGGGGCCTCTCTGGTGCTCTGGCGGTTCCTTGAACCCTTTTCCCAGCCTGAATGTTGCTTTCACCCAATTTTCTGTTAACCCAACAAGCATCTGGAGACCTGGGTCCAACAGAAATAATGTGTTTTGTGATTCTTGAGCAAGATGTTGAAATCTTTCAAGCTTACTCATCTATCATATTTCTTTTATTGAGAAATAAAACAACATTTAGATTCTACAGCCATGGTGTTGGCTCTGTAAGGCTGGGTTCAAGCTTCATTTGGAATGGTAGCATACCGACATTTAGTAATTAGCACTAAGCAGGAAATACAGTTATGGATGATGGGAATTTTTTTTTTCATTGTTATTTGTAATTATTTTTCATAAACATTTGACCTGAATCATGTTCAAACCAAACCAAAGTGGTGGACCAATTGAATGTCAGAGCAACATTTCCATCTCTGCAACTACACCACCAACATGACTACAACTTTCAAGAAATCTTGGCAAGGCCTCAGAGAGAGAGAAAGAGTGAAACACTTTCTCGGTTTATTAGGTGAGTAACGGGTGCTGAGAGACAGATAAAGGCCAAACAGTTAGCAAACATACAGAAAACAGACAAAAAAACAATGCTGGGACATCTATGTTTCCTCTATAATATTTATTCTGGATCAGTGAAGTTTGAGACGCCTGGATTATTGCTTGACCACACAAGTTATCATGGTGATATGACCTTGTCGCTAGCCATTGTACAACAGTAACATGGTAGATTACTCATCTATTGTGAAAATGATTCTGTAGCTCAAGGGGATGACGCAAGTGGGGAACGTGGCAGAGAGGAAAAAAAAGGTTTCTGTTGTTGCAGTGCCTAACAGGTCATCTTTCAGTTTACTTAAATGTGAATTAAAAATTCATCTACAGTGCATGCAGTCCCCTTGGTGGTCCAGGGTGGTCCACAAGAAATGTCAACTGTATGGCTTATTGGTAATCCATGCATGAATGTGTGACCTGAATGCCCAGTTTGTAAATGTAAGTGAATAGCTCTAAACTAGCTAGTGAGAGAAAGAAGCAGTCCATCTCACAGCAGTTCTGCTAAAAGGCTCCGTCTGGTCAGTACCTGGCGGACGCTGACGACGCTGAAGAGGATGTTTTTGGATAGGGGCCTGCCTAGGAAAATAAACCTACGTCTGACCTCAAGCGCCAGTCGCGGAGTCTCCTCACCTCACCACCTGACACAGTGTTCCTCCCACAAGCATGAGCATCACTCCTGGGTGGCCATGCAGGAAAAGGGAACTCTCTTTGGCATCCTTTCAAAAGGGAAAACAAAAGCTATGAGGAAGAAGAGTAAAACTCCAAATTTATGCCGTTTCACCACACTGACTGGACTCCTTCATTTATTAACATTTATCCTCTTGTATTTCATTTATTTTCCCACTGACTACAACAAAAACTGATTTATTAGTCTTTTTTTGCGCATTGTTCTATGGCAACTGTTGGATGTTTCTTGTTTCTGCCCGGTCTTGTCCAAGGTCTTGCCAGGTGAGGCAAATAGCAGCTGGAATTGATTTGTTTTGAATGATACTTCTGTATGCTGTAGGAGTGGGATTGCCCCCCCCCCCGTCTTCCCACCTCCCTTCCCTTCCTCCCGGCTCTCTTGTTCTCCCTCCCTGAATCTTTCTGTGCATGTGTGATGGCCTCTTAAATGAGGGCTCTTTGATGTGGAGGAGATCTAGGGTAAGCAGAGTGCTTAGTTGAGTGGGAGGCGAGGAATGCGAGGCAGGTAAAATTCCTGTTTTCTCCCATCAGACCATGCTCAACCATCCTGAATACGAATGTGGCTCCCTGGATTTCTATATAGTTTCTGTCTTCCTGAATAATCCTGGTTTTCAATCAACATTTAGCTCATTAGTACAAGTTTGTTTTCACATGCCCGTCTTTGTGATGTACACCATATACACACTTGTTTATTCCTCTGCATTCCTTAAACCCTTTGTCCCACTTTGACTCCTCTGAAACCTACCCAGACATTTCCCGCAGCAAACTTAAAAAGCCCAAACCTGTGAGAGCTGACAGATGTGTGTCCACAAAGGACTGAGAGAGACAAACACTTTGAGTCGATGCTTTGTGGTGGAAAAAGATGGGCAGCGTGGGGAGGGAGATGGGTCTGCTCTCTGATTTGATGGGTATTTCTGACGCAAACCGGTAAAAAGGTGAGTGCTGCTGGTAGTGCAGATACACGTGTGTGGGTGTGTGTGTGTGTGTGGGTGTGTGTGTGTGTGTGTGTGTGTGTGTCTCTCTCCAAATAAGTGTGTTTCCCCCACCTCCTCTGCCTCTATCTCAAACAAAAGATGCAAGCCAAGGCTACAAAATGGTAGCGGTGGAAAGAAAATAAAATTGTTTTCCATCATTCATTTATTGCTTCTCTGGACACCTTGGAGGTGAGAAACTTTGCCAGCCATTATTGCAGAAGGACATAGAGTGGGGTACTGTAATTTTGGAGGCATTTGGAGGCTCAAGAAAGCAAGAGACACAGAAAAGGAAGTGGAGCGCCAAGAAGAGTAAAGTGGAGAGAACTGTAACAGTGTTGAAAAAGAGAAATAAGTCTGACAACTGAAGACGTATCAAGGCTCAGAGGCAGGATGATGATGTTGATAAGCTTACTTCTCCTCACTGGATGTGGCCGTGCAGGTGAGTCACAATTTTATATTTGTGATGTTGCTAAGAAAGTGACAAGGAGGGTGAAGGTTAGCATACCAACAGCCATATGCAAAGACTTGATGTGGTCGCAGTTTGCCCATGAAAGATTTTTTTTATGACATGATGTCAAATGCAATATATTCTTCAATGCTCACAGTAAAGCTGGAGCTATGAGCCTGGATATGAGTTTACTGCAATTTACTTTTTTCCATGTCATAACTTGTAGGTCTGAAGTCAGACTTAACAAACCATCCACAATTATTACACATCACAGAGAGTTACACTGGCATGTTTACACACACACACACACACACACACACGCACCATCTTTCTTATACACACATAAATCTTTCTTTCAATCTCACTCGTGCTCACATCTCATGCATCCCTACTCCATCATTCCACATGCACACACACACACACACACACACACACATGCTATAGCCTAATTAGGATAAACTCCATATTTCCTTTATGAGTCCAATTAAAAACTAAGAGGGGCCTTTTCTCAAAGCTGTCAGACTGTTTGATGTTGAGGTGGCAATCTCTTGCCGAAGCTGCTGTAAGTAGCTGCCTTGAGTTGGGATGTGGGTCTCTCTGTATTTCACTTCTAATTGTCCCCCAATTGAGTTGCATGGCAGCAGTAAAACCTTTTATGACTGTCCTTCCAACTATTCAGAGATGGGATCTCAGCACTTCACATAAAAACGAGTTACATCATTTATGGTGCCTCCTTAAAGTGAACTAGATATAGTCTTCATCTGTCTTCTGGATGTCACTCTGAGTATGTGTTTGAGGGAATGGGGTTCATGTTTGTGCTGAGGCCAAAATAGATCACAGGCATCATTGCAGACCCTGGTTTAATTGTTCCACCAGAGCTGTCTCTGTGTTTATTGTGTTAAAGATCTGGCAGTCTTTCTGTGCCTTCCCTCTTTCTTTCCCTACTCTATGCCTGATTCTTTCCTTTCTTTAAAATACCATTGCAAGCATCAACTACTTTCACTATCAATATCCTTGACCCAATCTCTCTTTCCTCTTGCTCATATCTGAAAAAAAATCCTGTTAAAAGCTATCTTTTAAAACTCAGGGAAAAGATTTGGCTCTTTCTTTGAAAATGTGAATGTGTGGTCTGGCACCACCCACATGTATATCCTCGCTTTGACAACCTGAACCTAAACATTTCCCTCCATGAGTTGTAATCTAGACCCAAAATCTGGCTAACCACTGTAATTTACAGAATCCATAGGTTAAAGGATCCCATCGTGTTAAGAGCAGTGTAGAGGGAAGCAGAGGGGAAAATAACATTTCTAATTTACTTGTAGTGGAGTCTGACTCAGGGTCCAGATGCTGGAATGAAGGGGTGCTTGTGTGTGTGAAGAGGTATGTGTGTAACTGTAAAACCAGTGTATATTTCCAAATTCTTTAAAAAGATCTGTTTTTGGTTCTTTGCAAATCAACCATATAGTGTAGGGCAGCTCCTGCAAGGAACTTAGCCATAAAAAGTCATAAATCTACACATATACTTCCCTTTACATGGTTGCCCTTCCACTTTTGTCAATATTAGACAGTGGACACTACATAGCTAATAGGAAGTGAGGGGAGAGAGGAATGGAGGATCATAAGTCCCTAGATGGAGTCAAACTGGAAATGCTGTGATTACATGGTCAGTGTCAGCGCACTTAAACCACAGCATGTCCCATTACTTTTTGTGCATTTCTACCTTTATTTATAACAAATTTCACAACCTCAAATCTGATTGAAACACAGGAAGTCACAATTAAATACAGTTATTGTCATGACTGTTTTGGCAACAGTTGGTAGTGGTAGTATAACATAGATAATATAGCAGCCTGGATCCTACAGTATATATTCATGAAGAGGTTTTTTTGTTTTATTATGTTTTGGTTCGGTGGAACAGGTCTTCTGTTTAGGCACACCACACGATGAAGAACCCCCACCCCCCACCACCCCCCATTGTACAGTTTCCTCTGCTTCGTGATCTCGATAGTGAACACAAATCACCATCTGCTACACTATAAATATCCCATATACACTCACTCTCTATCGGAAGCCAGGAAAATATGTATTTTTTTTCTTACCAGCATGTATCTTACAGCTACAGTTACAGCTCCTGCATGCTTGTAGTCATGACTATTTTGCTTGGTGGAATAAATAGATGAAATATGTTTTTGCTGTCAACAGGAATAGTAGATAACCACCCCATGGAGATAGGTGAATAAGTGATTGTATTTTTTTAATACATGCTATATCAAGTTATATTTATTATGTATAATCTGAACATAAGACTGGATCAGAGGTATATGGCGTTAATTTTAGATACTGAATGTTCTGTTACTGAATAGTATATAAATTATACATTTGGACTAGATTTCTTAAACTGTTGTGCTTTGCTTTGTTTTTGTTTAGTCCTCTAAATTCCCAGGAGTTCACTGCCTTCCCATGAGCTATTTAAGCTTGCCATATAATCAGCCCACAAAAGCGCCTAAGCACCTTTCGGTGGATGGATGATCCATGCTGAGACCTAAAACAGCCACCAGGTGTTTACGCTTGTCATGCAGGAAACTAATTTGACTTTCCCAACATAAGCGAGACTTTCTCTCAGGGGCAGGCCCGTAACAAATGGACAGACTGACAGGCCTCCACAAGTTTTCCTCGCTTTAGCACATTGCTGCCGGTATTTCCAGTTCATGTGGTGTGGGCTACATCATGTGAGGCCTCCTTACCCAGATTGCTGCTATGATTTTATTGCACTCTTGATTAGGCACATGTGACTAACTGCAAACCCCTGTTGGCAACGGGTGAGTGGTTGGCAGAAAGCAGAGGTCTTCCAGAGCTCTCAATTGTAACGAGATTCAGCCTCGCGGGTTCAGGAGGCGAGAGAGCCGTTCGCTGGGAATTTGATTCTTCTGGTCGTGTGGAGCAAAGTTGGCTCAACTCACCTCATTTCACACATTAACTGTTGTGTTTGCGTAGAAGAGAGACATTTTCATTCTGCCGGCGGTCTCCACTACCTCACGAAAGAAAAATGCTAAACCCACTTTACTTCCCATGGAAAAACAGCCAAGTTGACTTGGAGAGAGAAAGAAATTATTGGGGTCTTTTAAATGCAAAGAATTCTGAGGAGGGGTGGGGGGGTGGAAATATGACCATTTTCCTGACATGAAGAGCAGAGCACATCAAGACTCAATCATGATATTCTGAAGAATAGGTTGGACCTTGTTTCCTTTCTATCCTTGGACTGTTTTTTCCAGTGGATGGGGGGAAAGAAATGGAAAGAGACATGGTTATGATTTGTGTCGTGATGGATGCCAACACAAATTGGGCAGCTATTTTTTTCTCTCCCCATTAAAGGGGCTGCTGCATAAAAAGACCCATTATACATTTACCACATCAAAGGAACATGTAAATGTCTATCGTGCACACTTCACGGAAAAGGGGTAGAACTATGTTAAAGCAACCTTTTAAAACAATACAAAGGGGGTGGTGCATTTTGATGAATCAAAATGAGTAGAGGGGCTGTGATGCTACGGCACTCTTGTGTGGTCCTTGCTCTGTCTCTTTTTCTCTCTCTCCCTTGGCTCTTCCTCCCTCTCTCTCATTCTCTCTTCCTTCTTTTGTGGCTCTAAGCCTATGAGCTGTCGTGGGCCCTTCCTTACTACACACCCAGCGGGGCTTTAAAAAGGAAGGGCCAGAGGTCTTAGCAGCCACACACACTCTCTTTCTGTGCCTCTGCCTGTCGGTCTCGGCGTGCTGCTCTGAAAGCCGGCTGTGTCAACCTCTCCAGCATCCAGGTTGCTTGGATTAGAGATGCAGACACCACAGCGCAGGGCCCCCAATCTCCTGCTCATCCTTCTGTGCCCCATTCTGCTGGCTGTGGGCCGGGCTGCTGTGGAGAGCCAAGGTGAGGACATGACAGAGTTATTATTGCTGCCTGCGGTTGGGATATTAGTAGCACTTTGTGGGCAAACAAATGGACGCACAGAGGGATTTAACCAGGTAACCTCAACCTGGGAAAGGATGAGTGTGTGAGGACAGACTGTGTTTGAGAACGTCAGCTGCAGTGGTCCATGAGCACGTACGCAGGTGTGTAGGTGTAATGGAGAGAATTTGTCGGTTTAGATGCACAAAAGAGTGTGTGAGTATATTTTTGCCTGTATCTACCTGTTTATGTAAAAATGTGGGGTGGACTGTTTGTCTTTCCGTTGTTTTGGTGTGTGGCCGGAGGAATGTTCCTTTTAGACTTCCTTCACAGTGAGCCTCTCAGTGGGCATGAACAGACAGACACCAAAGTCTCTTCTTGGTTGTTTTTTGTCATTTTGACACCTCTGGAGGAACCCCTTTTCTTGTCTACCCTGAAGGCAAAATATAATTTAAAGTGTCAGAGAAAGGCAGAGAGAGATACATGAGCATGCAGACACCCACTGACACACTTGAATTCACTTGAAGCTTCTGTGCACCAGAGCTTTACCAATCCACACAATGCAAACGCCACACTCATACTAAGCAGTGAACATCACACACATGCCTCGTTCTCTACCTGTGAAATCTCTGAAATCCACCCGGCTCCATCCATACTCCCCACGCACTCATCTAATTCTCTATCTTTGTTTTGTTTCCATGGAGCAGCACTGTATGAACTTGAGAAGGAGCCAGCTTATTGGGATGCTCAGGCAAGGGCAACACTGGATGCTGCACTGAAACTCCACCCTCGGAATCACCGGGCCAAGAACATCATCCTCTTCCTCGGTGACGGTAGGTCATGCTATTATTATGGAATCTACAACAGCAAACATTAAGTCCTGACTCGGTTGTAGGTGAGGTTTTGACAGCTACTGAATGACAAATACAGCTCAACATGCAGCAGAGCTCAAGTGTGTTGAGTTACAGTGGGTTTGCTGTGCTCAGAATGGATAGAGGGAAAGTAGCTTGGACAGTGGACTGTGTATGAGAAGTATCTAGATTTGTAAACACAAATGAGCCAGTGGTTGTCATAAAACTGGACAGCTGTGGTGATTTGTTCAAACGCTCAAAATAAATTAAGTTTACTTAGATTTAACAAGCAAACAGTTGTGGGTAATGACTGTCTGTTGGTTTATTTTAAACATAAAAATTATTTTTCTAAGTATTTTTAGTTGCATTAAAAAAAGTTTTATGGTAACAATGCATCAATTGACAAAACATCATTACCATGTGACTCGACGGTTCCTCTTAGTTCCAGCATCTTTCCGCTCCTGGGTCACTTTGAGTGCTCTCATCAATGGCATCTCCAACACAGTGTTCAGCTGTTTGCAGCAAACTTTGGTAAACCCACTGAACACTTACTTGGAAATATTGGACTTAAATTCATCAGGTGCCCAGGAACCCAATTCCAAATTAATGTTAATGTTGTAAGGCAGTGATAAACAACTTATTTTGTTGTGTAGAGATTAGGACTTCTTGAAGATGGTATTTTTAGGAGCTCAGGTAGTAGAGTGACACTTAAGGTGACAATAGTAATTAGTGCAGGGCGCGGCTGTCACTCTGAATATGCTGACATGCCACATTTCTCATCCTTCTGTAGTGTAGTCTGGCATTCACTGACTTGTCACACGTGTGATATATTTACAGCTGGTGAGGCATGAAAGTAATTTTTTTGAGGCCGAGATTTAAGAGTGCTCTTTCCTGTTAACTACTAGAATATCTGCTTTAAATCAAACCTTCTTAGTTATATTTCTGGGTGGTCGGGGCTGAGTTTTCTTTGTGCATCTCATCTGTGATGCCCTGCCCCAGAGCCTGTGATGTTTAAGGGAGAGCGCATTGCATCACAGCGACTTGGGCTTCTTCAACTAGGGCTTTTAAAGTCTCGGGTGGGAACCACATAAAGAAAATAGTTTTTGAAAAAGTGATCAAAAGGTATATATTGTATCTTGTATGTAATACATGCTGAATAGTTACTTAGCAGTATCTGTATAGGAAAATGTTCTACAAATAATGGTCTGAATAGTTGCCTGGTAGAGTCAGTTTTGGCCTGTGTGACGAATTTGCTTGAAAATGTGGTTCTCCTAGAAAACCACTGCTTTAACTGCCCCGTTCATTTGTGGATTCAGTTGAGGTTAATGACCTTGCCATGTTTTGACTTTGTTTGCTGAGGGAATTACTGAATCAGTGTTTTTCCTCAGTATGGCAGTTATAGTCTGAGATTTTAAAACAAACACATTATAATATTTCTGGTCTGGATTCTAATGTTGAGAAATTTGACAGAGAACAGTTCATTAAATCATTGCTCTGTGGGGTTAGAACAGTTCAACTTTCAAAAACAACATGTGAATATGAACACATTCGTAGATGCTTAAAACATTTGCATCTTTAATTTGTCATTCAACATGTCAGTAGACTCAGATGAATCTAAACTAAATTTAGCCAGAGCATATCAATGATTGCACCTTTAAATCGTTCTCTCCCAGGTATGGGTGTGTCTACAGTGTCGGCAGCTCGAATCCTGCGAGGTCAGATGGAGGGTGCATCAGGGGAGGAGACGGTGCTGGCCATGGACACCTTCCCATATCTGGCCCTGTCTAAGGTCTGACCTGTTGATCATCTGCCCCTATTCGTCAACTAGTTATCAAAATGTGGACTGCAATTCTTGTCTGCTATAGTCCAATGAGTACCTTTATCATTCACTACATGCACCATTTAAAGCTTTGTGATTTAAATACCCAGTGTTTTTTTTACTGTTCATTTTTTTCCACGGTTGGTGCCTAAAAATTTTACCCTCAGTAGTATTTTGGGATGAAAATAAACATATTCATAATATACCAATGAATACCTATACATGTTCCCTGCCTGTTTACAGATTAACATTTATTATAGCTTTTAATAGTGAAAGCTTTTTCTACCACATGCTTAAGTTTATTTGTAAGTTTAAATGGGACAAAGGACAGTAATAATGACAATGTGAGTTCATGCATATAAATAAATATCTGTGGTTGTTTGGTAAATCAGTACAGCATGACACACAAGAGAAAGAGTTTGAGTGAGAGACAAACAAAGACGCGGGGGGGGGGGTCAGTGGGTTAGTGTGTATGTCAGTTTTCCACATGCTTTCTTCTCGTAACATGTAACATCTTGCCTCATACCATCCTGCTCTTTTAAGGTTAAAGAGCATCAGGGATTTAGCTAAATCAACACTTTAAGTGAAAATGCTGACATTATGGTAAAAACTGTGAAAACAGATTGAAAGTCTTACAAAAGTTCAATTCATTCTTGTGGCCAAGCATAATTCAGTTTGTTTGGTGTCTCTGTGTTCTAACCTATAATCAAACAAGATTTTGCATTTGCTCATTCAAGAAAAATGCACAATTTTCTGGTTGGGTTAATGTTGTAGACCTTTCCCAGGAATATCCTCTGCCTGTTGTACAAGACTAGTTTTACACATATGAACGTAGCAACAGTGGTTGATAGTCTCCCTGGTTTAAGTGTGCCACCTACAAAATCTCCCATTGTTCCCATTTCACACTACTTGAGTGACAATTCACCTCTGCTCAGCACCGAGCAACAAACAAGGAGAGACATTTCATTTTCTAAAAGGGAAATGCTGTTTATTTTGGTTCGGTCTTTAATTGTGTTTGTGTTTCTACTCCACAGACCTACAGTGTGGATAAGCAGGTAGCAGACAGCGCTAGCACAGCTACAGCCTACCACTGTGGAGTGAAGGCCAACGCTAAGACAGTAGGACTCAGCGCCAATGCAGTGGCCTACGAGTGTAACACCACCTTCGGTAACGAGGTCTACTCAGTATTACGACGCGCAAAGGCACAAGGTAAAGACAATGAATACTTTGGCTAAGTAGTGGGTGGGCAGTGTAATGGAAAAGTGAACAGCTCTGAATTACATTCTTATATGAAGATACACACTGACCGTATCAGCCATAATATAAATATGAGGAATAAAACAATCATCTGATAAGAATGTTCTCTGCTACTTGAGTGTCACCGTTTATGGGGTCAGTGTTCAGAACATCGACATATAATAATAATAATAATAATGATAATAATAATATATAATGAGGAGATCATGTCACACTGACCAGCCTTCACTTCTGTGGTGGTGGCCATTTCACAAAATGCCATTTGTGTGGGAATATCTATCTAACTACTCATTATGTGCAACAACATTACATATATATTATATTTGCTCTGTGTTAATTTGCCTTTATGTGTCTCTGTCTCATTATGTCAGTGTAGTACATAGCAGAGTAATAATACAGTAGCTATAAATACCTAGGTTACATCATGTTTAAGAAGTACTGATGTGTTTGTTTAGTTTTTTCCTATGAAGCTGCAAAGCTTTGATATATTTTATTGGAGGCAATAGGCAAGTTAAACCTCAATGGTTGAAGCCCAAAAAGCTAAGTTTTCAGAGGGCAAGTTCATTTGCATTTTAATTGAATTATTAACTATTTGAATCACAAACAAGGAATGCTTTTGAAAAAATTCTCACTTATTCATTGCTGTGGCAGCAGGCTTAATAACTTTCCTGCAGAGTAACAAGTTCTATGACTCTTTTATTTTCTACTTCTTCCACTGGGCTTCATTATTTGGCCAGAAAAGACTCCAGGGCTGTGGCTACACGCACTGAGAACTGAATAAGTGTCATTATTTCTTCATCCAGGGTAGTCTGTCTCCAAGAGATCTTTGAATGCAGTCTGAATCAGTGCCACTCAAATAAACAAATTCACACTGTGTTTATTTTATTGTCAACACTTTTATGATTTGAGTGTGTCTCTGCCTTGTTCCAGGTAAATCAGTTGGTATAGTGACAACCACTCGTGTCCAGCACGCCTCCCCAGCTGCTGCCTATGCACACTCTGTCAGCCGAAGTTGGTACAGTGATGCAGATATTCCCTTCAGTGCCCGCAAACAGGGCTGCATCGACATTGCCACCCAAATGGTCACCAATGTTGACATTGATGTATGTAAGAACAATTCCATTTGGCACTTTTTATTATTACAAAATAAGATATTTGATTCGTTCAACTTAAGAAAAACTACGTATATTATTATTGTACTACAACTCTACCGAAATGATTGTGCTTATCTAAAATAGTACGCCTGTTTTGATTATTTTATTTTCAGATGGATAATGCAATGTCATTTTATCTTACTTTTTTAATGCTCAGAAGTAAATGAGGGACATTATTGGAATATGACTCATTTTATTTTCAAAGTTCAATCAGACCACAAGGACTTTGACCTGGTTAAATGATTAAAGACAGTACAAGACAGCTGTAGGATAGACAGACAAGGTGCAGGGGCAAAAAAATAAAACAAGAACAGGACGGGACCTTAGAGAATAATGCATGCAAGGTATGTGTCCAAGAATTATATTCAGATTTAGTTCCGTTTATTTTAGATACATGACAATATAATTTTTGTTTTGTTTTGTTTTTTTGATTTTTTAAAACAAACAAACAAACAAAAAACCATTGACTAAAATGTAGAAAAGTTAGAAGTTATAAAAAGTTTTTATGCTATGCTGGTGGTTGCCCCCACTTCTATGATTTCTGGTTGAGTATTTATGCACATTTAGTTTTATGCCACACTTATAGCACATCACTAGACTACTTCATGGGTTCACTTTAGGCCTACACAGTGCACCAAGAAAACAGACTGTATATGGTCTTGGTTTAAATGCGGTGAGCTCATGCTGCTCTGTGCTAATAGCTTGTAACACTTTTTATTGTGCTGTGATGTTTTCATGTTGTGTGTGAGAACTCTTTCTTTTACAACACAACAGTTACCTGATGACCAGCAGCTTTCTGAAAATAAAAGCTTTTATAAAATAGACAGTGAAGACATCCAGTTTTGCTCATTGTCTGACAAGGTTGCTGTGCAATGCAGCGTTTTTTAACCATACAGATGTGGACGTCCACATTGGAGTATGCCATACTTGGGTCTTATATCTGATATCCACATCAAACACACACAGATCAGTTTTGATTTACACACGTCTGATGGAAAATTAATATAATTAACTACCTTAATTAACCCCTGCCCTGTTTTGTTAATGCCTTATAGTTTGTATAATGATTTGATTGATTTGTGTAATGATTCCATCGTGTCTGGTATTCCTTTAAGGTGATTCTGGGGGGAGGGAGGATGTACATGACACCAAAAGGTACCCCAGACCCAGAGTATCCTACCTCCAACTCTCGCAAGGGTGACCGCAAAGACATGAGGAACCTCATTGACGTGTGGCTGAAGGCTAAACCAGTAGGATCATTTAATACGTAGATATTGCCACATCTTGCAAAGATGAGCAGTCACAGATTCATGTGTTGTCTGATTTGTGTTACAGAACAAGAAGTCACACTATGTTTGGCACAGGAAGGAGTTTGATGAGATTAATGCTAAAACTACTGACCGGCTCATGGGTGGGTATGCAGACATGTTAGCTCACAATCAGGTTACTCAGTATATAAAACACACCACTGACACTATAGAGACTGATAGACAGGTATGTGTGTAACATTTGTATCTCAACATTACTCAGGTGATGACAATTCTTATCTAAGTTATAAAACCTTATCAAGAGGATTCCAGTAAGGCCAGCTTTCATCTTTACAACCATGTAACGTACTGTGGTGTTCTGTACAGTCAAAATTAGCTGGTATTATCACCCCTTACTACAATGATAAAATAATGACAGTGATGACATGTTCTGTTTTAGATCTGTCCTGCATTTAAAAGTGTTGTTACATTTGGGAAAAAAAAAGAAAATAGGCTTCTCCAAATGACAGCAATTAAGTCTTTGGTTTGTATTCTGTTATCTTATCAATCATTCTGTATTGTGTATTTGCTTCCTTCCTTCTTTTTTGTATGTGATCCCAGGTTTGTTTGAGCCAAAGGACATGAGATTTGAGGTTTTCCGGAATGGCTCTCGAGACCCCTCCATTGTGGAGATGACAGAGAAGGCCATTCAAATCCTCAGCAAGAATCCCAAAGGATACTTCCTGTTTGTGGAAGATGAGTATTATATCAAAAGTCCTCTAATTTAAGAACTCATCATTATCAGCATCATGACGAATTATGGTCAAGATGGTGGCATGATGATTTATACTTTAGCTCAGCGAATAAAAGAATGAATGAACTAATTCACTTGCTTTGTGGTGTTATTGTACGAGGGAGAATTGATCATGGTCATCATGATGGCATTGCCAAGCTGGCTCTAACGGAGGCTGTGATGTTTGACCGAGCCATTGAGCGCGCTGCACAGCTAACCAAAGAATCTGATACACTGACTGTGGTTACTGCTGACCACTCCCACGTCTTCACCTTTGGTGGTAACACACCTCGAGGGAATCCCATCTTTGGTAAGCCTTAAATGTTGGCCAGAAACCTGAAATTGAGAAAGTGTAGGGGGAGGAAAATGTAGATGCAAACCATACATTTTAGACATTCATATATGGAGGTGATTTCATAATATTAAAGCTTATGGTTCTGTAACTTGCATGTTTCTTTAAAACATTTTTTTTGTCTTATAAAATACATGCAAGTCTTATGCTCATTTTGCCTTTGTGTGAAAAAATACCCTGACCAATGTATTAGTACTCACCCTTTCTGCCATTTTTGCTGTTCAGGTCTGGCACCAAAGAAAGCTGATGACAAAATGCCTTTCACCAGCATCCTGTATGCTAACGGCCCTGGTTATGTCCACATAAATGGAACCAGAGGAAACATCACAATGGTGGATTACTGTGAGTACAAACTAATGCCTTTCAGATGCTGCTCGTCTGTGCCGATGTGTGTACAGACAGCGTGAACTGATGTGGTTAAGGCTGACTCATGCCTGTGTTTTTCTCTGGAAAGCAAAGATGAAATATGATGTTTATGGCACCATGCTGTCTTCTCTTGAGTTCTGTGCACAGGCGCCATTGTGTACATGTAACTGTCCTTTAAAAGGCTGTTTGTGTTTCTTTGTGGAACACTGGACAGCAATGATCTGGTTCCTCCCTCTCCTGTTCTGCACCACTCGCTTTAGTCATTGCATGAGTGTGTATACTTTAAGAAGGAAATATCTCTATCCCGGGATAAATTACCCTTTTAAAACCCCCAATTTTGTCTGTTTAAATGGACAGGCCTTATTTTATGTTTTTGGAACCAGTAGTTGTGTCTCAAAAGTGCACACTCAACCCATCTGTCACCTCAAGTGAATGTGTAATTAGATGTGAGAGAGTCATCTCTCTCTTAATCTATGTATCCATCTGGAGAATCACTGTAAAGGTCAGCATCTACGTTCTGAGGATGACTTGTTATTTTTAGAGATGTAGAGGTATTATTAGTGAAAGAGAATCAGGGTTTCCAACAGACTGTTATAACAAATTATCCAAAATACTGCAAAAGGACCCTTTATCTAGACCACACAAAAGGACGGTTTTTTACATCATAACGTCAAGACATTTTAATACTTGTTTTCCAGCATTGTTTGTTTTTGGGGCGGGAAAAGTTATTTTAATCTTTCAGTACACTTCACTTTAGAAATGTCAGGCAGTAAATCCTGTAATTTTATCAAAAGGACTTAAATTACCTTTTGGGTTTTGAAAATGTTATAATCAAGTTTAATTAGGTGAATTACAGAAGATTTGCAAAACACCATTTTATGGACAAACAACCCACAAAAACATCACTGAGGTGAATGTAGAATGTACTCTTAAAGTTATCTAAAGATGCTCTCTGATGTAGTGAAGTGGTGTATGAACTGACAAACAAAGAGAATCCAGAGCAATCTCTTGTGACAGCAATGCTAAGGCACAATGAAGGAATTAATATGAATTGACATCATGGTTAATTTATGGTGACATAGTCTACTGAAGCATCTGTTTTGTATTTACAATTGATTCTAAGCAGATCTAAGCAGACAATGATCTAAAACAGGGTTTGGTTACATTCTACACTCTCTCATTCTACACTCTTTCTTTCTAGACGATGAGGAGTACATGCAGCAGGCTGCAGTCCCATTGGATGCTGAGACGCATGGTGGAGAGGATGTAGCCATCTACGCCAAAGGCCCAATGGCTCACCTGTTCCATGGGGTGAAAGAGCAGAACTATGTGGCACACGTCATGGCCTTCGCTGCCTGTTTGGAGCCATACAAAAACTGCCCTCCTCACGCCCACAACCGCACCTCAGCTGGGTGTGTGAACACACCCTCAAGCTTCCTGTTTGGCTCACTTGGCCTCCTCTGGTTGTTCAGATGACCCCCAAACACCCACAACAAAAAACACACACACTCACTCAAATACATTGTATGCATGCAGCAATACAGACACTTAAACACTAAACATTCATACACACATTACACACACATTCACTGTATACACACAAACTGGCAAGTCAGAATGCAGGGATAAACATATACAGTACTGTATAGGATGACTGAAAAATACTCATACTCGCTGATTACTCAGTGTACATCCACACGCACATGTAATCTACCGTGCATGCAAAATGCAGGCTTAAACATGCATGTAATATCCCTTTTCAAGTGCATACTAACAAACAGGCAGCCATTGCAGGCTAAAACACATGAAGAGACTATAAGATTTATGCAAAGATTAACATTAATTCACATGCAAACAGTTCTTCAAGAAACACTCCATACAATTGTTTCCATTGCAGATGCATCAGCATTTACAGTATTTTACTATTTCCAACTTGTACTTGCAATGTGACTACTAACTTGCACTAACTGGTTCTTTCATTACTTTGGTTAGACTTTCATCCTATTAATATTTTTCAAGTTAAATACAATCTCTGCTAGCATGATCTGCTTGCTTAGAACTACCAAACACTTGCAAGAAGCTGTAATTCACCTTTTACACATTAATTTGAGGCTTTACCCAGAAAAGCTTGAAACCAGCAAGCAAACTGAGGCCTCACTGTTCATCCTGTGCACACTTATATGGGACACACAGCTGTTGATGTACATGGAATAAATGACTATATGACAGTAACATAAACTGGAACTACAGGCCATCATGCCATGCCAAGCTGCCACACCAACAGACCTTACAAGAACTCATGGAGATACTGTACCTCTTTAAGGAGTGAAAAACATGTAGCTTTTAAGATTTTTTTTAAGTTTGTACCTTGACCTCATTTGGTTCCAAATAGTAAATCTGTTTTCTGTCAGATTGTCTGTCACTTGATACATTATATAATCTATTTGGATTGTACATGAATGTATTTTGTAAGCAAATATTGTCGATGTATTTTTATATTGTGTTTTTGCAAATATTACTTAAATAAGGATAAAAATACATTTTTCTGGATAAGTCCATTGTCCAGTTCATTGTAGAAATAGCAAGATGTTACCTTATTGTAGGTAACACCTTATTTTATGGTTCCCTCTGAAAATTCCCTAAAAAGGAACTGATATTTAACTGTTACATCATTCAATTGTAACTGTTACTTATTTCTAAATAAAGAAATATCAAAGAAAAAGTAGGGCTCTGCCCAGTTACTTTAAATGAGCTATTTGTGAGTTTTGCCATTGCTGCATAGCCAACATGAGGACTAACAGCTGTTTACTTACCAGTCTAGAAGAAATGTTACAAGTTCAGCATCAAACTTCATTCCTTTACTCGCCAAGAACTGTCTCCAGCGATGGAGAAAAACCCTTTTGTTTTGCTTCTATTTCTAACACTTCTTTTTTTTTGTACTTAAGTTAGCATGCTAACTCAGCTAGCCCCAGCTCGTTGGGACCATCTCGTCACTTTCTGATACCAGGTCACTGTAGGGTCCAGGCTGACCTGAAGAGGTAGCACTGTTCAGAGGGCGTATTGTAACCGCTTGGCTGAAGCTCTCAGCAAGACTGGTAAGTAAATATTTAATGCTAACATTGGCTATGTAGCAATAGCAAACCTTACAAATAACTCCTTTAACTTAGCTTTTGATTTAAAAAAAAAAGCCAAGCAGTTGTTCTCTATGACCTCATCAGGCTAAACATTTAACACAAGTTAATCCATCTAGAAAATTTTAATTGGATCAGTCACTGTAAGAAACATTCAAGTAAACATTCCCAGCTATAGCAAATTCCACGGCATCAACCTTTAGGAAAAAGTCAAGGTCACAGTATCCTTGAGACAGAATCTGTGAAATGTTGTTCCCATGTCATACTTGTCATCATATACTTGATTTATATGAATTTTAGCAATGTTTGTGCGAAGGACACATCACACATTGAGTCTTTCAGTCCTGCTCTTTTCAGAAAGAAAGGTTTTTGGACTTTTCATAAAGTCAGATTGCTGACAAAAAAAAAAAAAAGAAAAAATGGTGCAACCTTGTTCTGGTCTGTCTGAACCACAAGGCCAGTCAGTGCAAGACTGCTGAGGATTTTCAACCACACTGCTGAAAAGCGTTACACAGATGTGCAGTCAGACCCACCCATATACACACAGACTCACATGTGATCAATTAATTCTGCCACAAATTCATATAAATGGTTGCTGTGTCAGAAAACTATTCAGAGGTTGGCTAAATTCTGGCCATCTCAAATATGAGCTGTATGAGATTTGTATAATTGCAAAATAATAAGCAAGATGCCATAAAACCCTGAAATCACCATCATCATCATTAGATGATGATTTATAGTGGCTATAAGACAATAGTTATTAAAGCTTCTGCTGGTTAATATTTACCAGATAATGTTCTGTATTCCAGCTGCATTTGTACTTCAGCTGACCTGGAACTAATAAGACAAAAATAAAATTAAAAAAACAAAACAGATAATGGATTCATTAGATGACAGTTAAGATTAATGATTGATAAGTCCCACGGATACATAAAACATACTCCACTTCAAAATAGAATGTATCATTTTTAGCCAAGTGTACTGAGAACGACACATATCAAAAGCAATTTAAAATAAAAAATAAAAAATTTGCTGGCACCAGTCTGTTGTGAACTCAGTGCACAAAGGGACTTTATCCGACTTGAAATTAAGTATAGAGCCTGATATTTAGCTAAAAGCAGCTGGTATGAGAAATCTTCTTTAAATGTACCTTAGATGATGTTTCCACACCTTTGCCATCAGAATCATGCTATCATGAGAGATATAACATGGTGGACTACATGCATAAACTCCTGTCATGTGGCATATCATTAATCCCAACCTACACATTTGAATACCTCAAAGAGAATTTAGAGCCTGTTGTTTTTTTAGATGCCAATACACAGTTTACTGCCTCTTCTTCCATGTGTGTGTGTGTGTGTGTGTGTGTGTGTGTGTGTGTGTGTGTGTGTGTGTGTGTTCAATATAACTTCTTTGCTCACTTTGTACGGCTCCTTCATGTGTCCTTTGCTCCTTGGGTGCAGCTATAAAAGGATCTCAGTATGTGTGCACTGCTCCTGTACTTTTTTCCCCATTCACATATAGTCAACACCATGGCCAGCAAACATAAGCTCATTTTCACTGGATTATTGATTTTTATTTCAGTGCAGTCGACATTGTGTGTTTCAGGTAAGAATCTGTTATATGTTGATGCTGACATGTTTCTTCAGAAACTAAGAATTGCTTTTAGATTTCACGTTGGAATGACACAAGTGGATTTCAAGGAAAACACAAAGACAATGACAGAAGCTTAAGTATATTCAAATTGACTTTTATTTTAAATAATGAAAGAGTTTTGCGGTGGCACCAAAATACTGTTAATCAGTTGGCAATTCTTTTAAATTTGAAACTGATTGAACATGTCGCAGTTGCATGAAAATATACTTATACTAAAATATCATACTTTATATTACAAATCCACCTGTTACAGACACTTTGACATAATGTAATGTAAGATAATATGTAAAAAAAAGAAAGTTGCGCATTCAAATTCCATGACAAGGTCGTCTCTCTGATGTTCCTATCTGTTATCAGTTTTCATGGCCGTTTTGTTTAGTGTCATTATTCTAGTATGGTTAAAAAAAAGAAAAGAAAATTGCCTGTCCTTTATTACTTTTCTCACTGTACATATTTCAATTTGCTTTTCATATCATTTTATTTTCCTTGCTTATAGAAGAAGAGCTCCATGCTAGCTACTGGAACAACAAAGGAAGGCAGGCTCTTCACACTGCCATGAACGTTCAGCCCAATCTCCACCAAGCCAAGAACCTCATCCTCTTCCTGGGGGACGGTGAGTCCGGTGAAAGGAGCTCTCTCCCACCACTTAAGACGTTTCTCTGAATTGTGGAACATTTCCTGCTTTTTAGTTCAGTTCGTTTGTTCAGGTGAAGAGAAGCCAACGGAGTTTGAAAGTGGGAGTCTCATCATCTCTGCGGTTGAGTTCACCAAGAGGGAACAAAATGTACTATGTGACCCCAAAAAAGGTTTATGGGTAGAGGGAGATGAATGTTGGCATCTGATCACCAGCGGTTACTACTGCTTGGAAAGCCACGCGTAACAAAATGAACTGAGGCTAAACCACAGCCTTCACTATTCCCTTATTTTTCTGTAACTGATCTGAATGCCGCAAAGAGGTCAAATCACAGCAAAGAGTTCAGACAAGTTCATCATGCATAACTGAACTTTCAGATACTGGTTGCCAGGTCTTTAATATACAAGTTACTTGAGATTATGAGTAACTTCTGATAAAAAAAAAACTGATATAGATTAGGCTGTGTGAATGTAAACAAAAACATGTAGCAAAGTGAACTTTTTCCGCCAACAATATTTTCAATCATATCCTGGTTAAAGATACCCAACAAGATGAACTCATATGTCCTGAGAAGACATTTTAACTGTAGCCATGACCCTCGGACCTCACAAAAAAGATAAAGGAGTCACTCCTGTGCAGTTCCTTCTGCTTACTCAATGATCCAAGATCAGTATTTGGCAACTCCACTGCACAAATTACAAATTTAAAGATGAAGTGTGGATTTATTGTTACAGCTGCCTCCACCCCAACCCACATACATGCTGATAGCAGCACGTTTTAGATTTTTATCAATGCTTGGGATTGATCAGTAACATTTAACTACCCCATTACTGATATGCTTATGAAAACAAATTACAAAGTTCTAGGTGTTAATGATCCAATGGCCATACTTTTTTATGGAGAAATGACATCTACTGTCATTAACTATAGCTACCAGAAGTAATTTGATGCCCAAGCATTTAACTGATTTGTGTTGAAATACAGCATATGACACATATGCTGTGACATATAATCATAACACATATGACAATGATGACATGGCATTGTTTACATGT